TGAAACGGCAGTTGCTTTAATCCCTTCTCCAGAGTCACCTTTCAGTAAAGCTTGAAACTTTGAGGCTTGAGCCCTTGAGTTGAGGGGTAGGAAGGAAGGGAGATGATTCTCAGTCAGTTGCAGAGCTCCCAGTCATGGGTGTTCTTCCCTCCGCGCGTTCAGAAGCTAAGTCGAATTCCTCCCTCAAAAGGGTAACCCTTTCATGTTCAAGTCTCTATTTTTATTTTGGGGATTTGATTCTAGTTCTCCTAGTGTAATATAATGTGTTGGTGCTCATGTAATTTACTCAGTTTTGGTATTAAAAAGCTTTGGTTTTTACCTCATACGTGTTTTCTCTCTGCATTGGATCAATTGTGTTGTTGTGATCCAATTCACATTCTTTGCAATGTGATGGTTATGGCAAGAACTCAAGTTGATCCAATACCTGGTGAACTGGTTTTTGTCTTATTAAGTGCTGTAGTTGAGCTTAAGTAAATCAGCTTCCCGAAATCATGGTTGTTGTTGTTGTTGTTGTTGTTAAAGGATCAACTAGTTTGACTCTTAATATTTAGTTAAAGCTGAATCACTGGCTATGGCTATATGATGTAGTTTGACTTGGTTGTGGATGCTTGAAAATGCATCTTCTGCAACTTTAAGTAATGAATTAGAGTCAAATATCTTGATTGAAGATATGTATGATTGATATAAAGAAGTCTTCATGATTCCGTGTATAACATGCAATTGGGAACTGTGGCATTGAGGTGGCTCCACTGTGGTTGAAGTGGGTAAGGTACAATATGTAAGTCTGGCTGAAACAAATGAATTCATGAGCTTTGAGCAACTTGAAAAATTATTGCCATGTGGCTAGTTTAAAGGGTTAAGAATGCTCTGGTTGAATGTTTGATGCATGATGACTTAAACTTATACAACAGGATCTTTGGGATTGAAATGGATAGTAATCAGCTCAGGATGTTGGTCAAAAAGGGTTGTTAAGTCTGGGAGTGAACAAGAACGGGGAGAAGATAATAAAGGGTTCTAAAGAAGTTGATTAAGAAGCCATGATCCCTTTTAAAGCAAACTCCTAAAACAAGTTTTTGTGACAAGCAAACTTACTGCATTTATACTTTTAGCCCTAGGCAGGAGGGGCAAAAGGGTATAATTTTGTGTGGAAATTAAAAAGCAAGAAGTTAACGCTCCTCATTGAAAGTTACTAATTTACCTAATTTGCTTGACTGTGGAATATCCAATGAGTGATTTATTCTGGAAAAAAAAAAATCTGGATCTAGTCTTCTGTAGCAATAAATGATGCCTCAGTCTATGTCAAACAACCTTGATATAGAGTTCACTGCAGGGCTAGTTCACAACTATGCCTCGTTAACCGTCTTATCATGTGTTTCTTTTGCATGCTTTATTGCTTGTGTATGATTGAAGTCACATAAATAAGTGTTTCAACATGAAAGCTTGTGGTTTTGAGGATTCCTGGTGTGAGTTTTTCCTTTTCATTCAGTTTTTATCTGCCTATGTTTTGCAAAAAGAGTCTGATAAAATAAAACATCCATGTAATAAAAAATGTTTGGTTTGGAATTGTCGTGAATCTCTTGAATCATATTGTAGAGCTTGAGGAATAAGTGGCTGACATGAAATAAAGCCTTTCAGGGATTCAGTTTCTTGTCACTTTTTGTGGGCCAAGTCTTCTTATCTTGATGCATATGGTTTGACGAGACACTGCAGAGGTGAGTCCCAGCCATTTCCATTGAAAGTTTCTAGAATTATACATATCAGAAAATGATGAAATGATGCTTTGGTCCACAGTCATAATCTGCATTTTTCTTTCTCGTGTAGATAAATTATTTTGGCTTCCTTATTTTCGGTTCCATGAAAGTTCATTTTAGAACTTATTCTAACCTCTTTTGTATTTTATGTTTTTTTTTTTTTTGTTATTTTTTTCCCCCAGGGATGCAGAGGGTTACTTCACAAAGGAGAC